TTTTTTTGTCATGGAAACGCGGGAACAATACGCGACGGCATCGAGAAAAAGAGGAAACAGGAAAAAAAAGAAGGGGGAAGAGCTAATGCGGCGGTTCGTCGATAAAAACCGGCGGTCGCGAAAATTGGGTTATTGCCGTTCGTTTCGTTCGCTCGGTCGATTTCACGCAGACGTTCGCCGCCACGCGCGGGCAGATGAGGTGGGAGAAGAATGTCAGTGCGTTGCGGATGTGGAAACTTCCTTTCTCAACGGAAGAATCACGAGAGACGTCGAACGCGAAAAACAGAGTTTCCATCAGAGTTTCCATCTCGCGTGCGGGTGCGTTCTCCCCGATTAAAGAGCACGATGAAAAAAGGAAGCAAAAAAGGGACGGAAGAAAAAATACTAGGGGAGAAAATCGCGGAAGAAACGAGAGGATGAGGTCGTATAAGCCGCTAAGGTCGTGTAACCGCGGTTACATCTTCTCTGTTACGTTATCTCCGTGTCACGTCGCCGAAAATGTATCCACGGCGAGCCAATTAAAATACACGCTCGGATTACAAGATACCGGGTCACGAGGATTTCAAGCATTAGGCAAATGCGCGGTACGCAGAGGACGCGCATCGACGTTCGTTAGCCCCGAGGAGTAAAAAGAGGGTGGAGAGCGCGAGGCCGCGCGGCCAACAGCCGAGAACAAACGGAGCCTTCGCTGTTGCCTTTGTCCCGAAATTATTCAAGGCTACCGCGGCTTTTTCGCGGCGCACCCGGCCAGACCCTAATCCTGTATCTTTAAGGCGAGATTACACCGCGTTGCAGCCGCGCTCGAGCCGGCGTGCAATATCGCGGTGGCCGGAGAAACGAACGAAATTGAAATTTGACGGGTCGAAGCCGGCTTTGACGCCGGAGCGTAACAGCGATCGCGCGTACTCCACGTATAACTACCCTCCCTCGAGCGCGCGCGCACCACGTATCTTTTCCCATCTCTGTACGTACGTACGTGCACGCTCTGCCGTGAAAGTGCTTTTGTAATCCGGTGACTCAGGATTTTCTACGAAGTTGAAACGACCGACGTGAGTTCGTTATTGAAGCAATAAAACGCTCCGGATACGGAGCTTCGTCGTTGATTCCTTTTCAAAAACGATTCCAAAGGAGCTTATCAGGGATATTTGAGGTATCTACGTGCGATGCTTATTAAAGGCACCCAAGAGCGCAGCGTGATTTATCTCTCCTATGCACACTGTCCGCCAATTGAAATTTGTCGTGTCGAAAAATGATAAAATTGGAAAGATCGGGAGTACTCGCCGGGAGGAGAGAGAGAGAGAGAGAGAGAGAGAGTTTACGCGTGTCGTATCGCGCGACGAGCACGTAGAAAATTGGCGAGATCGTTTTCGACAAATCCTTCTCACTCGTTAATTATGCGCCGGGCATTAACGCGACCATTAATCACCGAGGCGACAATCTAAAGCACGTCTTGCCACCGGCGGTATCTAACCGGGCTACGCGTTTTCATATCGACCGCGTAAATTTCTTCGCGGGCTAATGGCATTAAATTCCCTCGCGCGCCATTTAATTCCCGCGCGCTCTATGCAACATACACACACACACACACACACACACACACGCACACACATCGCGCGGTCTATACCACACAGAAATCGATACCATAACGACGCGTCTTACATTTATCTCTCCCTGTCGCTGTCTCCCATGTCCGTTGTCCCGGAATCACCGAAAACGCAATCTCCCTAAGCTCTGATCCCTAGATGCCGTCTAGGCTGTCGGCCCAAGTCACGTTGCGCGACAATCGTGCAATATCGATCTCGCGTGAATATTTCAACACGCGCGGCACGAACGCACGTCGCACCGACCGCCGGGGAATCGTCGTCGTGAAACTCCTCTCGCGCGTTTTACCCATTTTTTACCCATTCCTTCGTTTCGACCGAGCCGAAACGCGAACGCGACGATATATATATATTTTCTCCCCGGTCGTTCGAGAGTCTATCGCGAAACCGCGCCAGATTTTCTCAATCGCCGTTATCACGTGTATGTGTGTCAACGTGTTTTCTACACACGCGGCCCACGAAATGTCCACGGGAAACGAGTATATATCGGGAGAGTATCGGAGAATAATCGTGAATGGAGCTACTTGCTCGGAAAGGAATTCCCCTTTTCGAGATACTACCGCGGCACGACGACGCAATAAACGCGATAAACGTCTCGAGCCTGGATGAAACTAACGAGAATGCCGATAAACCACTCGCGTGTCCGATTAAGAGAGAAATGTTCGTCACGTACCTGCTGTCAGTCGTGCGTCGTCTCGATCCGTTGCTCGCAAGATCCGCGTTATCCGTGGTCGTGGCGCGTCGCGTCGGTGCAGCGTCGGGAACCGAGAAATCCATGGTGCTCGCCGCCGCGTGGAATCCGACCATTGTCACTGGAAATCAACGTTGCCACGCACTACATCAACATTGCTCAACGTGACACGATCGGCGTTTGCGAACGGACACCGACTTAACCCAGATCACCAGAGATAATATAATCCCACACGACAGGCAGACGGACACGATACAGCCACCGTTCAGGAAACCACCACCGTCTTCGCTAGCCAACCTCCCGACACCCCGGGTGGGATATATACGTATCCTATCCCGCACGGGAACTGTCACACGTGTTACCAGAGTTGAACCACGGGTTCACTGTGCACCGCTTGTACGTACGTGCCTACGTACGTACGTATCACACACTGGATAGACGCGTCGCGGACACACTTGATGTTCGTTCGCGTCTCACTTCGGTGCCACTTCAGTCCGCGATCCCGATTTTCCCCGCAACACCTCTTCGCTGCTGTGCCGTTTAGTGTCGTATCGTGTACGTGTGTCTGCGTGTGTGTTCGTGTTTTTATGTGCGTGTGTATGTGTGTATGTGTGTATGTGTGCGTGTGTGTGTTTATCCGTGCGTAAATCACTTCAACATCGACATCGTCCCAGGAGTAAGCGGGTGAGTGACGCCACTCTATCTCATCGGCGACGAGGACGATGCACGACGCTCATACTGTCAGGAGGAAGCGATCGAGACGGTGTCGAGCGGCCCCGACGATCTTCTTCCGCCACCGCCGTGCAGCATCACGGCATCCGCGTCGCGGAACGTTTACACACTCGCGCGTGTTTCCGTGGATCGAGCCGTGACTCGAGAGGATGTTGCGCGCACTCGCGGCGTCGGCGACCGATTTCGGTTTTCCCACCGAGACGGACGGAGAGGGCAAAAAGATCGAGAGGGTGAGCGGGCAAAAAGCGTAACGTAGCGCGCGTAGAAACACAACTCGGCGAACAACAACGTGTCCCTCTCGCGTGTTCTGGCGCTCCCTGGTGATTCCGGACCTGGCTGGTTCGGAGCTAGGACGTCGACGACGAAGAACGGGAGCGAGCTCGACATACGTGACCCGTCATCCGACTCGCGCGAGAGTTGGTACGAAACTACTCGCGAGTTCTCGGTCGAGCGTACTTGCATCCCCACCACCGGCCGTGCAGCGATCCCCCACCACCGGCCTCGCGTAGGGCACACGCGCCCCTTACCCCCTCCCTCTAATGGGCACGCACCGAGCTACCCGGAGCGTGACACACGCTCACGCTTCTGGTGGGGGCAATGGTCGCGTGGCGGGCTGCCCTCGCAGTGGGGGTAGAGAGGGCAAGGGATGCGATCCGTACGAAAAGGGAGCGACGGACGGGCGACGCGGGACGCGAGAGACTAAGCGAGAGAGAGAGAGAGAGAGAGAGAGAGAGAGAGAGAGATAGCGAGAGAGTGTGAGAGGGGAGCACGGACACAGCGCGTTCGCGCAGACGCGCTACTCTCCTGCGGGAATGTACCTATCCTCGTGAAATGTACGGTAAGTACTTGGCTACGGGATAACGAAGACCGTGGGTGCAGAGACCTCTACGCTCTACGCCACTGTGTTGCCGTAGACGTGCAACTATGTACCGTGCCGCATGCTACGTACTACGATCCGGTTGTTGTAAAAAAAAAAAAAAAAAGTCGTCCGACGTTCGAACGATCCGCCGCGACTATGTCACGGACGTATCCGAACCCGAGACGTCCCGTCCTCGAATTACGGTCGGCGCAATCGTTTAAGTTTATAAGTAAGTGTCGGACAAGACGAACCAGGGAGAGGAGAATTCCCCCGGCAGAGCCTCTCCGTTCGGCGAACGTCGAGGAATGTCAAACAGGCTCTGTAGAAGTTTGCTCGTATAATAGCGCAGCTTTGAGCGCGATATGTCTTTAGAGCTTAGGTTTCGCTCTGCCGAAGGGTAAACGTTTGCCATCGACAAATATTTGTTAATGTTCGCGGCAGGGATACTCGTCCGTCTCCTTCGGGGCCGAAACGCGTCTGACTGGCGGCGAGGAAGCTCGTCATTAAATTTCGAATGGCAACGGGCAACAGCTACTCGCGTATCGTTTTTGGCAGCGGGCTGCCACCAGGGAAGGATTGGCGCGCGTGCGTCGTTCGATCCTGCGGCATGCGTCTTCCGGGATGGAATGTAGGTAAATGCGTATCCGTACGCGGGGGAATGACAAGGGATGTCGACGTCGACGTCGACGGCGACGATGACGAGGATCGTGCCGGTGGGAAGCTCTTCAGCGACAGCAGCGACGATGATAACGAGAGTTACACCGGCGTTACGCACTGTCTACAGGGAATATCGTCTCGTAACTGGGAACTCGGCGCTGTTGAATATTTTACACATCGGTACGCGCGACGGTAAGGATACACAACGGCGCATGTGACGCGACAACGGTCGGAATCACACAGCTCTGTCGCAAATAATGTTCCTTTGTGATTCAAAATTGCACTTTGGACCAACTTGGATGGTTAGGATGCGATTGAAAAAAAAAGGAAAAAAGAAAAAGGAGAAGAAAAAAAGTAAAGAGTTCGCTTTGGGAAGAAAAGTCGTTCGTCTGGAGAAAGAGAGTTAGTTAGTCGATTAATCGGGAAACTTTCGGTTAAGTATTTAGAGGAAAACCGCAATTTTAATAACGGGCCTGGATAAAAGACCGGGCAATTTGCCGTATCGATTCGGTTTAATTTGGCTGGAAAAGTGACCAAGCTTCAACTCGGGAGGAGGGGGCGGGAGGAACTCGAAGACGGCAGAGGTAACCGTGAAATGACATTTCGTTTGACGTAACCGACGGTGATAACGAGGAATGGTAGTGCTGGGTTACGTGCTTCCTCGAGAGGATATTAATCCGTAATGATGCACTCAGCCTGGGTTGGATCTTCCAAGTTTGCGTAGACACACAGACACACAGAGGATATCGGTAGAGGGGGACTAAGGAAGAGCGCGCGCCGCGTACAGCGACAGGGGAACTGAACTTGCAACTCTGCTGTTCGCGGTGGCAACCAGTTTCATTGAAATTCACCCTCATGAATACCCGTCGATACGCTCGATCGAGACGGAACGCCATATCGATCGGCAGCCATTTCGATTAAAATGTTACCAGCCGTATCAATTGATCGAGAGACACCGGGACGATGGTTCGACGTCTGTCGTATGTCCGTCTTGTACGAACATGAATCGAACGTGAAACAACGCGAGATAACGTAATTAGAGGGGAATCGACGGACGGAATTTCGCAAAGCTCGAAGCTGCAAAATTGTCGGATATTTTATTTAATTAAACTTCGTATTTTCCTTCTTATTCCAATTCGCCGCATAATTTCCCTTTTCAAATCACTAGCGAAGTGATTTACTTCTTCTATTTTCGTAAAAGGCGAGCGACGCTTGCGCGCCGGACTCCTGCGGGATCGTAAAAATGTATGGGATAAGGGTAGAGACGATGAGAAAGAGAGAAAAAGAGAGAGAGAGAGAGAGAGAGAGGAGTTAAGTCTCTCTCTCTCTTTTTGCCTCGAACGGTGAGAACCGTCAGCTCTCGGCAACGCAGAATCCCTCCACCCTTTTCCTAGCTGGAAGGTTACCGGGCAAATCCTCGGACACGAGATTAAACGGGACTGCGGCTTAATTGATTTTCTAATGTGCCGTATTAATGGATTGATCCGAGGCGACGACCTCGAAGTTTGCTATTGTCGCGCGTTCGACCAACGGGGAATATCGACCCCGTGCCCACCTACACGCCGCCCCACAGAAATCATTCAGCCACCTAGCTATCGCTTTCGGCGACACATAGAGCCGATGAACCGAGGGGAAACGACGAGTAATTACCCGAAAGTAACGACCACGTCACAGGGAAACGACGCGACGCCACGAAAACTCGGTTACTTTAACAGAGACGCAACCTCTTTTTTAATCCCGGCCTCGAGATTTCCCTGGGAAACTTTCATGTCGACCGGCATGTACTCGTCAGGTGGCGAACAACGGCTACACGATTTTCCGTCATAAATATCGCGAAGGCTTCCGGCTTCCGTCTACCGAGAAGCAACAACTCCTTGTTTCCTAATAGCTTTCACCGAGAGAGTTCTTGCTTTCTTTGGGGAATCGTGTTCTCTCTCCCCCTTCTTCTTCCCGACCCCCTCTCACCGGCGGGGAAAAATATCGCAGATTCCGCTCAGCCCTAGAGCTTAGTCTTAAATATTACAGAGAGCCGGAGCGGCGACGCGACGTTTCTACGACTTAATGGCAGCTCCGCGACACTCCACCGTATTTCGTACAATTTAAATTTTCAGGCTGCTTATTGTTCGCCCGTGTCCGTGACTTCGACCCCGTCTTCAGCCGTTTTCTTTGAAAACTACGTGTTTCGATATCTCTTGCTCCCGTGCTCCACCCTTTCCTCTCCCTCCTAACCCATTTCTATTTATCTTCGTACCGTGGAAATCGACAAGCAGAGCGTAAAAGTGGTCCCGAGCGGCGCCATTAAAACCGATCGTGCCAGAAACATTTTGCGGCCCTCCCGAGTACGCTCGTCCCGCTGTAATGCAACGTGTAACGTGACTCGATACATTAGGAGGTGCACTTTAGATCACGCAGAGATTTCATCGCGGGAACGTTCGGAACGATCGTTGCCACGCCGTCTACGCGTTTAAGATCGATTCGCGATACCTTCGAGCGGCTCTCTCCCGCTCGGCAGCTTCATTCCCTGCGATGCGATCGCGCGAAAAAAATAGCGCGCCGCGGCTTCCCGCTCCGAGCATCGGCGTCACCGCTAGCGTTATCTCTTCTATCCGCAGGAACCATTGTGACGAGTGATTAATATAATCGATATAAACGCGACGACAGATCCGTTTCGCAACCGTTCATGCATAGATGACTTGATACGTTCGGCCCGGAGAGACGTGAGAACATCTTTTCTCTTTGCTAATCACCACCGTTATCGGCGGGACGTTAACGATTTTTTCTGCACGTGTCACGATGTCCGAAGACGATCGACAATGAGACGACGTTTGTTTCGCCGAGCGTTTATCTTTCATCTTTCATCTTTCGCTCGGCTGCGCCTTGACAGAAGAGTATTCTCGATCTCGTAAATTAATCGTCCGCCCCGTCACTGCGCCACACTAGTTACTCGTAATGTTCATCCCGGCTATGTGTATATATCCGGTGATATTTCCGGCGCAACTGCAGCGGTGAAATATCGCGACGCGCCTATTAGAACGGCGAATTTATATATACGGGGAACGGTGTGTTACCAGCAGCAGCCGGTCGTATAAGCCAGATTTAAAACTACTTATTTCAACGAGGAATCTCTCTCTTCTCGGACCGGGTACATTTCGAAAGTCGGACAAATTCCAGGTCACGCCTCGGAATTGCTTTTATTCGAATGGCGGGCAAGAACCGACGGTATGGAGCATGGTCAGCTGACGGTGACTCTCTGGCAGAATTTTTGCAGCCACGCGCCACCACATAAACCTCGCTCGTGTTTGCCTAAGGACCTCGCCTCCGCAAGAAACCAGTCAACGAACGAAAAAACCGGCCCCGGACATATTGCCGTAACTGTGGCAGAACGCCAACCAGGAATTCCGTTCCGCGATTCCTGTTCGCGCGTAAATTCAATCGATGCCTCTCGTGCCTCTTGGATAAATATACGTGGATACGTTTACGAATCGTCCGACTCGGCCAAATCTATTATCGGCAACCTTTATTCGCGTCTAATCTCCGGCAACAGTTGAATCGGTTACGCGCCAGTGTACATTGGCATCCTTCGGAGCATCCAACGTGTAAGCCGTAAGCTAACGTACCGTCGCGATAAGGGCCAGCAGGATTTCCGAGTGTTTTCCGATAATATTATAAATTCGAGACGTCTGATAATTCGAGATCTCCTCCGGTGAGCGGAGAGCGTCGGTCGTAACGTCGCCGAACGAATGGGAACCAAAGAACTCGATTACGGGCCACGTTCGATCGCAATATCACCCTCTCTTGGACTGGATATTCAATCGAGCTTGGTCTCGGTTACAGAGAGCGTGCTGCCACTGTTCCTGCTGCTGCTGCTGCTGCTGCTGCTCCTTTCTCCGAAATAATAAA